TCTGTCTTAACTATAACTTAGCTAGCCGCAAGCACTGACCCAAACGTACGAAACAATATTCCTTACACCAAAACAACACATTCATTCGTACCTTTCTTACTACAACCACCATAATACCATATTGAAGAGCTAATCCGAACAATTACCATGAAAATATTTATAAAAAAAACTGCACAGTAAGGTAAACGTTACATTAATGGTCAAGTGACTGAAGCCGAGCTGCTAGATCAGGACCAATAATATTGCTGATTCTTCTTTGGATTATACTCCCTCTTTCTCTATTTCACTTTCTCTTTCTTTCCTTCACCTTTTTGCCACTGACTCTCTTTCTCTTAACTGTTTCCGACTGTCTTAATCTGATTGTTTTATTTCTTCTCTTTTTATCGATTTCTTCCCTTTCAGTCTATCACCACCCGGGGATACGGCAACCATTTTGTTTTTGGCGTGTGCACGCGTCGACGCCCAGTGGGTAACCACAACCGTAGTTCTGTAAGAAGTGTATAGATTTCTTCTATTTAATTACTTTATTTATTTTGCAATTTATTTATTTAACACACTATATATATATATATATATATATATATATATATATATTTCGTTACTTATATATATATATATATATATATATATATATATATATATATAAGTAACGGAATATGTTTTTCTCGGTCAGATACCTATTTGTCATGTCTGTTTCGACCAGAAGATAAGGTCTGTTCGAACACATCCTGTGAAGTTTGGTCTCACGCCGATCGACATTGATAGTCACGTGTCCGCCCTTCCAGTGTCGTTGGGCGAATAGAATCGCATATCGATTGGACATTAAAAACAAAAAGCAATAAAGAACATTGGGTTAAATTAACACAGAATCTGTTGTGGCTCGGTGAGAGAGAAAGAGGAAGAAAGAAAGATAAGAAGAAGAAGAAAAAAGACAGAGAAAGAAAGATGGACGCGTGTCTTCGAAACAGCTGAATGAATGGCTGTCATCTGTTTATCATTGATACAAATCTATGATTTCAAGATATCTCTTCAAGCATTCTTCCTTTTCTTCTCCTCCTCCGTCTTCTTCTTCTTCTTCTTCTTCTTCTTCTACTACTACTACTCCTCGTTCTTAGTTTTCTTCTTTCTCACCTTCTTCCTTCTTTTCTTCCTCCTCTTCCTCCTCCTCCTTCTACTACTACTACTATTTCTACTACTTCCGCCTCCTTTTCTCTTTTATCTTCTTCTTCTTCTTCTTCTACTACTACTACTACTTCCTTCTCTTTTTCTGTTTTATTTTCTTCTATTTCTTTTTCTTTTTCACCTTTTTCTCCTTCCTCTTCTTTTACTTTTCCTTCTGTTTTCTTGTTTTTCTCCTTCCTCTTCTTCCTCTTTTTCTTCTTTTTTCTTTTTCTTTTTCTCCTCGTTCTTAGTTGTCGTCTTCTTTCTCACCTTCTTCCTTCCTTTCTTCCTCCTCTTCCTCCTCCTTCTTCTACTACTACTACTATTTTCTACTACTTCCGCCTCCTTTTCTCTTTTATTTTCTTCTTCTTCTTCTTCTTCTTCTTCTTCTTCTTCTTCTTCTATTACTTCCTTCTCTTTTTCTGTTTTATTTTCTTCTATTTCTTTTTCACCTTTTTTCTCCTTCCTTTTCTTTCACTTTTCCTTCTGTTTTCTTCTTTTTCTCCTTCCTCTTTTTCTTCTTTTTTTTCTTTTTCTCCTCGTTCTTCGTTTTCTTCTTCTTTCTCACCTTCTTTCTTCTTTTCTTCCTCCTCCTCCTTCTACTACTACTATTTCTACTACTTCTTCCGCCTCCTTTTCTCTTTTACCTTCTTCCTCTTTCTTTCTTTCTTTCTTTCTTTCTTTCTTTCTTTCTTTCTTTCTTTCTTTCTTTTCGTTTTCTTCTTCTTCAAATTATTTCTTCTCCAAAATTCTTCCTGATTTCTATTTGTCCTCGTTTGCTAAATCATTCTCTTTTTCTTTTTTTTTTTTTACAATAACGGAACAATTTCTTTTTATGTACCCCATGTTCTTTTCAGGAGAAAAGAAACCCTGATTTTCCAAGCCCTACTTCCTCATTATATGATCAAGAAACCTCACCTGTCTATTTCTGATGATAAGTATTTATTTTGGCTTCCATTTTGTTTCTAGAACTTTATCATTGCTCACATGTTTGGTCTATGGTATTCTCAGCATGTCTTTTTAGAACCACATTTCTGTTGCTTCAAATCTCTTCTACATGTTTGTGGAGATTGCCCAACACTCACTGCCATAGAGGAGGACAAATATCACGTAACAGTTTAGTACACTATTCCTTGTTTCTAGGGAAGTTTTTTCTATTTCTTAGTACTATGCTTAGCTTTTGAAAGGTATCTTTGGCTATCTAAATACACCTTCGAATTACAGTGTCACACTTTCCGTCCATTATTAAAACACTACCTAGATATTGAAATATCCGCAATTGTTTTTATTTTGGTAACTCCGATTTGCAATTCGCACTTTGGGCCAACCCTTTTTCTAACAACCATACATTCTGCCTTCCCGCAGTTGATGTCTAATCCTTTCTTCTCGCTTTTCTTCCTTACCTTCTGTAAGTGTTTTTGTAGCTTTCTTTCTGCGTCTTTTATCAACACCGTGGCATCTGCATATCTTGTATTGTCAAGATTGCAACCACCGATAATAAATCCTGGTAGGACTTCTAGTGCTCTCAGAATAGCCTCATTGTGCAGATTGAATAAGTCCGGTGAGACGACACATCCTTGTCTTACACCCTTTTCTATTTTTGTATATCTTCTGAACACATTTCTTATGAATGGTACGTCCTAAGGGATATAGACCTCTTGGCTTTCTATGGCAGAGTGTTCGGTTAATGTAGAGGATATCGGCGTTAAAAGAGAAATCGACAAAAGTGAAATCGAGTTTATAATCCAGTCTAGTTAAATGCGTTCATTTTTGCATACATGCTCTTAGAAAAAAAACATATTTCTGCTGTTTCAAGTCTTTTCTTCCTCTTTGAGGAGATTGTCCAGTATTCACTGCCATATAGGAGGACTGATATTATATAACCGTTCAGCACCCTTTTCTTTGTTTCTTTTGCCTCAAGTCTCATCTTCATCTGTAAGGAGATTGTCCATCATTCACTGCCATATAGGAGGACTGATATTATATAACCGTCCAGCACTCTTTTCTTTGTTTCTGTTGCCTCAAGTCTCTTCTTCATCTGTGAGGAGATTGTCCAGCATTCACTCAGGAAGAAGAGACTCGAGGCAACAGGGATCTGGCTCTACAGAAGGATGCTAAGAATGCTATACACTGAGCGTGTGAGCAATGAGGGAGTCTTAAGAGGTATAGAAAAAATTCTCTTTTACTTCATATCAAATAAAGACAGTTGAAAATTCTTGGACAGCTTTGAATATACGCTCTTTTAGCGCTAGAGGGCGTCGTCAGTGATGTTCTAGAAAAGGATCATTGGGCAGTTTCGGGTCTTTCAAACATCATACTGACCTCACCAAATCAACCCCTTCAGAGCTGATCAGACTCTGAAACGCCCTCTAAGAAAATGCTTGTTTGCGCAGACTTTTATAAATATACCCCGTTATCACGCATTTGATTGGAGAATGACCAACAGCCAATGACAACGGTGCAAATTCTTTTTAAGCTGTTTACAGGTAATTTTTTACTTTTTTTTTTTTTTGGTGGACACCCCTTCATCGGATACTTAGAAGGTAATTATGTTTTCCGTTTTTACCCACTTCCCATCACGTTTCATTTCACCTTGGACATATAATGAGGAAAGAGGGCTTGGCGAATGTGACGCTCAGGATATATCGAAGGGGAACAAGGAGAATACGTATAAATAGATGGCGCCACTGGTTGGCGGGGGAGGGGATCATAAAATGGACAAAAGTTACAAAGAGCTGGAAAGGATAGGAACTCATGAAGAACCGTGATATATCAACATCCTGAAAGCACATGACACAAAGCAGAAGAAGTAATTTGTATAGTTTCGTATTTTTTTTTTTTTGTCTTCTTCTGAATTTTACATCTTTCTGTCAAAAAAGAATGGCATATTTGTTATTTTTGGGCACGTGGCCGCGGGGTTAGAATGTTTGCATTCTGGCCATGAGTTCTGGGTTCGAATCTCACTATGGTCGATTTGCCAGTAAGGAGACTTCCTGATGTAATCGGACTGGAGACAGTGAGGCGCCTTTGCAAAGTGCCTGAAAACCACACCACGGGTTGACGCAAGCATTGCGAGTAAAATTGGTTACACAGAACTCTTGGGCGCCGTCGATAGCTGTGCTAGCACGAAATAACAAGTCATCGTGGCAGAGGGCTTGAGCGTGCTGGCCTTGTTCAAATTTTGATCACGCTAGATAACACGCTCTTTCACAGAAACTGTAAGTAAGGTCTGCTCAGCATAATTGGAGTATAAAGAACAAGTGGACTCTGTTGGTGTTGAATAGACACAAATGCGCCTGAGCAAGCGTCTGCAATAGGGATTGGCTAGCCGCCCTAGTAGACGGGTATCCTTAACTCCGAGTGGCCAGCTATACTCTACATAACTGTTATTTACATTCGGACGAATGTCCTTATCTTTGTTGTTAATATAACGTTCGGCCGTTATGATCTCCGGGGGTATATATTGTAGCTTTAAGTGGTCAGGATAAATATGATTTTAATCTCTGGGTAAAGGTATTACAGGATTAGACTCGGTGAAAATGGGCGGGGCATAAGCGTCAAGTACTCCAAATCTGATTTGGCTGTAATCCGGAAATAGTGACAAAGTGACAGAATGAAGCGTAGAGAAAGAAAAATCAGGAGACACAGAAAGAGAGGTAGGTAGGTAGGTAGGTAGGTAGGTAGGTAAAAAAAAACAAAAAAACTAAAGTATCTTTTACCGTGGTCTGGCTCAGTGTCTGGATAGGTAGAAAAATCACCAAAAAGAAAAAAATAGACAAAATGGTTTCTTTCATTATGTTTCTCAAGATCTTCTTTTCTTCAAATTTTTTTTTTTTTTGTCATGATGTCACATCCGGTGTTGAGCTGCTGCGTCGGAGAGCATTATGAGCGATATCTAATATGGCCGCCAAGACGATGACGCATTCAAGTTGTTTTATGTTATTGTTTGTAGCCTGAAAAGAGACAGAAAATTAACGTCACGGTTGATAAATTTTAATTTTATCACTTACCATTTCTTTCTTTCTTTCTTTCTTTCTTTCTTTCTTTCTTTCTTTCTTTCTTTCTTTCTTTCTTTCCTTTTTCATTTTATTCCTTACCTTTTCTTTCTTTCTTTCTTTTTGCATTTTATTCCTTAAATTTTCTTTCTTTCTTTCTTTCGCTTTTTCATTTTATTCCTTACTTTTTCTTTCTTTCTTTCTTTTTATTCCTTACCTTTTCTTTCTTTCTTTCTTTCTTTCTTTCTTTCTATTCCTTACCTTTTCTTTCTTTCTTTCTTTCTTTCTTTCTATTCCTTACCTTTTCTTTCTTTCTTTCTTTCTTTCTTTCGCTTTTTCACTTTCTTCTTTTCTTTCTTTCTTTCTTTCTTTCTTTCTTTTTCTTTCTTTCGCTTTTTCATTTTATTCCTTTTCTTTCTTTCTTTCTTTCTTTCTTTCTTTCTTTCTTTCTTTCTTTCTTTCTTTCTTTCTTTCGCTTTTTCATTTTATTCCTTACCTTTTCTTTCTTTCTTTCTTTCTTTCGCTTTTTCATTTTCTTTCTTTCTTTTTTTTTTCTTTCTTTCTTTCTTTCTTTCTTTCTTTCTTTCTTTCTTTCTTTCTATTCCTTACCTTTTCTTTCTTTCTTTCTTTCTTTCTTTCTTTTTTTCTTTCTTTCTTTTGTTATTTTTTCCTTGCATTTTAATCGCTGAAAAAATTATTTCTACAATGTAATTTTCAGATTTTAAAACTTTTAAGTGTCTTTAATACTCTAGATGATTCAAGGGGAATATTCTAGAATGTTCCAAATAATGTTATCAGTAGTTATTTTTAGCCTAAAACTCCAAACAGAACATTGAAATTCGTGCAAGTTGGTTTTTATCATAGAAAAAGGCAAGGAATTAACAAATTCGCAAAAAGAAATGCTTGTTGAGCTCTGGAAAGAAAGTAAAAGTTACAGGAAAATCTCAAACAATCCGAATTATCCATTAGTTCATACATTGCAAAGGTAAAAAAAAAAAAAAAAAAAAAAACTCAAGACTGTTAAAAAGAACAGGTGCTCCACGGAAGATTTCGATGAAATTAATGCATTAAATTAAACAAAATCTAATGGTTACTCGTCAAGAGTTGCAGGATGATTTCCTTTCAACTAGAATTTATTTTCACTAAACGGACAATAAGCAATGAAATTCATAGGAAAATCTAAAGTCATGCTCCCCTCGGAAAACTCCACTGCTATTGAAAAGACACAGAGATGCCAGGTTGAAATTCTTTCGTGAAGATAAGAATAAGAAAAAATCGTATTGGAAAAGTGTATTATTGACAGACGAAACCACAACTGCGTTGTTCGGACGTGATTCTAGAAATCATGCATGGAGAAAAGATGGCGATATCTTCAAATAAAAGAACACAGTTCCAAAAGTAAAATTTGGTGGTGGCACTATCATGGTTTGGGGATGTTTTTGTGCAAAAAGGTACTTGCAACATAGATAGTAAAATGAATGCCGCAAACTAGCAAAAAAGTTGGATGCAAATTTCATGATTTCGATTAAAAATCTTGAACTTCCTCTTGATTGGATCTTCTAACAAGATAATCGTTCTAAGCGCATTGCAAAATCTACGAAGAAATGGCTTGCTGAAAATAATGTAAATATCCTGAAATGGCTAAATCATTCCCCAAATTTAAACCAAATCGAGAATCTGTGGAGTTATTTTGAAAATTCAAGTCCAATCGAGAGCTCCGACAAACATCCCGGATCTGAAGACCATATGCGAAGAAGAATGGAACAAAATACCAAAACTAAAATTTGCAAATCAGTAATTGAGAACTAAAAGAAGAGGTTGGTTGCTGTAGAAGTGAAGAATGGCTATTCTACAAAGCATTACATGAAGATTATTTTTTACTCATTAAAATGGATAAATGGAATTTATTTTTATTAAATCAATTTTTCTGTTTTCTATGCATATTTAGTTATTATGCATCTTCGTACAGCCAATTATAAGAAAAGTATGTTTATTCATTAGTTGAAAATACAATAAATTAAAATTTTGTATGTGAACGAATATTATTTTACGTTTGTAAAAACAATACGCTAGATTTGGCTGACTCAATCCGTCGAGCTGAGTCTCAGTGGTAGAAGACTCTGAATATAACACCAAATCGGCTGGGTTTCGATCCGAGCTTGAGGCATTCTGTTGTCTAATCACACTGCTGCGGAGCTGCGAAATAGCACTGTCTACGAATGATATATATATATATATATATATATATATATATATATATATAAAAGAAAGAACAGGAAGATATATAATCTGGTGTTCTTATTGATATTTTTTATTTTTACAAAACAGTGCTCGATGTAAGTTTACAGAGCATTAATATTATAAATTAACTGATTTAAAATATATTTTTCGCTACACAGTAATAACCATGTTTCAAAAACTGAAGCTAAAAATTTCAAATTTAATTATATAATTAAAT